TATATATGATCACAGCTGCAAGACTGTTATATGTGCAAAGATGGAAAGACTCACAAATACCAACAGTGGAAGAATGGATTATTAAATTAATGGACTTGGCTCAAATGGCAAAGTTAACAGCTTTAATAAGATAATACTGTTTCTAAGTTTGTCTCCTCATGGCAACCCTTCCTAAATTACATACTTGGGTTGGGAAAAAATGAAGCTCTGGTTGTAGGATTTAATGATTAGATGGTTTGTGTTGATAGAAATAATGTGAATTTGGATTAATTAGTGGTAAGATATTAACTTTTTTCAAATTTGTATTTGTATTGGAGATAGTCAGAAGTCACTTTCCGTTTCATCTTTCTACCTATTCTCACTATTTTAGTTTTTGTCTTTTAGTTCTATCTTCTTTCTTTTCTAGACTTTTTGATTTGTATTTTAACTGTACTTTTAAATCTTAATAAAAGCTTTAATAATAAAAAAAGAAAAGGTATTTGACAATTTGAACTGTATTTTTCTGTTTAAAATTCTGGAAGATATGGATTTTGGAGATAATTTTATTAAATTGGTGAAGTCGATTTATAAAAGGCACAAATAATTGTCAATGGAGAATTAATAAAACCTTGTGAGATATAAAAAAGGACAAGACAAGGATGCCCTTTAGCTCCACTTTTGTTCATTCTAGCTCTTGAAGTATTGAATAGAAATATAAGACAGAATGAGAGAATTGCTGGAGTGAAAAGAGAAATATATAAATTGAGGACATTTGCTGACAATTTGCTGGTAATTTTGGAAAACCGTTTGGAAGGAATAGAAATATTAATGGAAAAATTAAAGGATTTTGGTGTGTTAGCTGGATTTAAAGTTAATAATGAGAAAATGAAGATGCTAACAAAAATATGAGGGTGGAAGTGCAAAAAGAATTAATGGAAAAAAACTGGTTTTCAGATTGGGAAAAAAGTAAAATACTTGGGTATAATTATAGTCATTATTATTATAACGACTAATATGAATTGTATGTTCTTTCAAAATAATTACGTTAAGGTAGGGAATGAAATCAAGGATATGTTAAGAGGGGGAAAATTACAATTGTCATTGTTGGGGAGAATTTCTGTGATAAAAATTACCTAAAATAATGCTTCTGTTTTAATTTCTGTGATAAAAATTACCTAGAATGCTGTTTCTGTTTCAAACAATACCTATTTCCACAACTGATGCATGATTTAAACAATGACAGAAAGGTATATCTAGCTTTATATGGCAAGGGAAAAAAACAAGAGTTAAATTTAAAATTCTTCAAGATGCAAAGGAACAAAGAGGATTGGGGCTGCCTGATTTGAAATTGTACTTTGCAGCCTGTGTTTGGTTTGGATGAAATAATGGGTGTTAGTGAGAAACAAGAGAATTTTAGAATTAGAAAGGCACAACCTGAAATTTGGATGGCATGGTTTTTTATGGTACAATAAAGTTAAGGTTAATGTAGGCTTTAAAAATCATTGTTAAAACTGCCATGTTGAGAATATGGAATAGATATAAACCCAGGCTGTGCCTGAAAATGCCTTTGTGGATCTCAGCACAAGAATTATTTTATAGAAAAGAAACAGCAGGCAGAGAGAAATGGTTAACATATTGAGAGTTCTTAGAACAAGAACATGGAGAATATAAGATGAAATTAAAAGATCAGTTGATTGCAGAAGGATTTAGTTTTCAATGGTTTTCATATGTACAGTTAAAAGAAAGATTTAAAGTAGACATTTGAAATTAAACAACGTAAGACAGATTTTTTTTTAGATTTTTTTTATCCTGCCTTTATTTTTATAAATAACTCAAGGTGGTGAACATACCTAATACTCCTTCCTCCTATTTTCCCCACAACAATATCCCTGGGGGGGGGGGGGGGGGAGTTGGGCTGAGAGAGAGTGACTGGCCCAAAGTCACCCAGCCAGCTTTCATGCATAAGGTAGGACTACAACTCACAGTCTCCTGGTTTCTAGCCTGATGCCTTAACCACTAGACCATATTGGCTCAGTGCAGTTTCACATAACTGAATTATATTATAACATAATTCACATAACTGAATTATGCAAATGATGAATATGTAATTGCTAAAATATATAAGCTTTTACTGAAATTTGAAATGAAAGGACAAGTTAAATAGTATATGATGAAATGGGCTAAGACCTTTGGTTATAACATACAGATGGATCAATGAGAAAATATGTGGCTGAAAGGACTGAAATTTACATTATGTTACAATTTAAAAGAGATTTTTTATAAAATGATGTATTGATGTACCAGAACATTTTTCTAGAATGTCTAAAAGTACTTCAAATCTAGGTTGGAAATGTGGAAAACATGAAGGATCATTTTATCATGCTTGGTAGACTTGTAAAAAAGCTAGAAAGTTTTAGTCTCAAACACATACAGTATACAAAGAATTGTAAAGATTAATATTGAACTGAAGCCATACATTTTCTTACTGAAACTAATGGACAGACAACTAGATAACACTTAAGGAAGATTCTTTTTTTGTGCATGGTAACTGCAGTGAGATTATTATATGCACAAAGATGGAAAGACTCTGAAATGCCCACAATGGAGGAATGGTTGGTGAAAATGACAGAATTTTCAGAGATGGCAAAACTGACTTGTTTGATTAGGGAAAAGACAACTACATTTATTAGTAACTGGAAATCCACTATGGATTTTTTGCTGAAATGAAAAAAATGAACTTGTGATTTATGGGTTTGATGATTAGAAAGAGTAGAATATGGAAAGAAGGGAACCACGGTATAACCTTAGAGAGAGAAGATGAAATATAAATGCATTTATAACTGCTATAAAAAAGATTGGAAGCCACTTCTTTATATCTTTTTTCCTTTTCTTTTTCTTTCTTTTCTCTTTTCTTTTATTTCTTTCTTATTTACTCATCATTTTTCTTTACTTTCCTTTTTCTTCTTTAAATTTGTATTGTTTTTATTCCATTAAAAAAATCTTCAATTTTTTTTAAAAAAGGAAATTATGCATTGTCTATGTATCTATCAAGCCATCTTGCAATGTACAAGAACTATATGATTACCAACGAGGGTTCTTCTTTTTTGTTTGTTTAAATATTTTTGGTTGGTCCAGTTAAGTTTTCCACTGCTACTGTCATTGCATGGGCAAGTCGTGTGTGCCCTCAAAATCTGTTCTGAAGAGCTGGGGAGGAGGAATAAGTCCACTGATACAACCTGCAATCATGAATTTCATCTATTTTTTCAACTTTCTATTTGAAACACTCATGGGGGGAAACAATAAATTAAACAATATCTTGATTTACTTTAGTTACCTGGCATAGTAATACACATTTTCTACAAACCTTCAAAATCAGTGCTGCATGGATAATTCATCTCATATTATTTTTCTACTTGTGCAACTGAATTTTTCATTCTTTTTTCTCTGTCTCATGAGAGAGAGAGAGAAAGATCTCTGTTCCAATTAAAGAAAAGCACGGAGGTATAAGTCACTTCATTTTAGGCAACTCTAAATGCAGATATCTATCTATCTATCTATCTATCTATCTATCTATCTATCTATCTATCTATCTATCTATCTATCT